CGAAATCGACGTGGCCGTGAAGCAGATGAACCGCAACGGCCACCAGGGGCACAAGGAGTGGATCAACGAGGTGAATTTGCTGGGAGTGGTGAAGCACGCCAATCTGGTGAGGTTGGTTGGGTATTGCGCTGAGGATGACGAGAGAGGGATTCAGAGGCTTCTGGTTTACGAGTTTATGCCCAATAAGAGCTTGGAAGATCATCTCTTGGCTCGTGTTCCTTCCTCGGTTCTCCCTTGGGGGACCAGGTTGAAGATTGCGCAGGATGCCGCTCGTGGTTTGGCGTATCTTCATGAAGAAATGGATTTTCAGGTATTACACTGTAATCGACTCTGCTAATGATGTTATTGATGCCAATATCTATTAGCTTGTTTGTTGATGATTAGCCTCTGACTGATCACGGTTAATGGGTCTCCCTATCTTGTTTAAGGGATAGAGTCCAGTTTCATTCAAACTAATGACTTGTTTGTTGGTAAGTGATTGTGATTTTGACTTTGCCTTGTCATGGACTAGTTAGTTTCTTAGGTTTATTATGGTCGTTTATGTGATTGTGAGGGTAGGCATTTGTATGATTGGTATAGGATTATTGTCTTGGTTTTACGAAATTGATTTTGGTTAGAAGTGAATTTGTATTATGGACTATGGTACAGGTCTCGCCAACGACTCTGGTTAAGGAATTAATATTATTCTGGAAAGTGTGCTATTACACTTTTCAACTTTCTAATTTTTATTCTTTAATTGGTATCCTGAAGGCATTGATCAACACTTTCCTTATGGTAGGTGTGGATGGATATCTTTAGGGAAGGTCATAATCCGTAGTGTTTTTTTCCCATGAATTGTTGAAGTGCATGTTTGGAAACTAATAGTCATAGCTTCCATCGATTTAGTTCAAAATCATGGAAGCCATGACTATTAGTTTCTGGTTAAACATAGAAAAAATCACATCAACAAATGTGTAACCAAACATGCTAGAAGTGAATCCGGGAGAAAGTGCAAGTTGTTTTATACCAAATGGGTTTAGGCATAGAATCAAGTTTGAGAGATGGTTTAAATGTGGTAATAAACAAGAATTTAACACGAGTGAAGTTACAGTTAGGTGGCAAATTTCCATTTGGGTGTACCAAATGCATCACCAAACTGGGCAGAAAATTCTTAAACAGGATAAGAAAGTAATGAGTTTTTTAAGTGCTGTCTGTTTGTAAACCTTTTGTTAGTAAAGCAAATGTTGAGAATTGATTTTTTTTCTTTCTTTCTTTGTTATGCTTTAGGTTGAAGTAGAAAACTGGAAATATAGAAGAGTCATCAAGAACTTTGCCGCTTAGACATTCTATTTGGGGTTTGACGTTTTAATATTGGTTTATAAAATAGGTCTCAAGTGATTTTGACATGACTTAATTCTTTTTTTTTCTAGTGGATGGTTTGTACTGTGGATATGTTTTACAGCATTTCAATTCTGCTAAAATCCACAGAGGACTTTTGTAGAAACACATTTATGATTCTCATTCTAACTGGTGCAGCTAATATTTCGAGATTTTAAGACATCCAACATCTTGCTAGATGAGAATTTCAATGCAAAGCTTTCTGATTTTGGATTGGCTAGGCAAGGACCCTCAGAAGGATTTGGCTATGTTTCAACAGCAGTAAGGAAATATCTATCCTCCAGAGAAAACTGGTTATATTCTGCATTTGAACATACCATTGGTGAAAAATTGACAATATTTCATGATAACATCATAATAGCATGCCTTATGGCAGGATATTTTGAGTAAATTAAATATATTTCATTATATTCAATGTGGAAGAATATATGATGATCTGAAGTCTGAACCTTCATATTTTATCCTGATATTCTACTGTAATTTATGCAAAATAAATGACTTATTTCCTCTTCACAAAGGTTGTTGGCACCATAGGTTATGCTGCACCAGAGTATGTTCAGACCGGTAAGCTTACTTCTAAGAGTGATGTGTGGAGCTTTGGTGTAGTTCTTTATGAGCTTATCACTGGGAGGAGAGCTGTAGAGAGAAACCTACCAAGAAATGAACAAAAGCTTCTGGAGTGGGTAAGACCTTATGTTTCTGATCCTAGGAAGTTCCATCATATTGTAGACCCCCGACTTGAAGGACAATATTGCATCAAATCTGCTCATAAACTTGCAACCCTAGCAAACAAGTGCCTCATGAAGCAGCCAAAATCCCGTCCAAAAATGAGTGAGGTGGTTGAATCTCTTGGATGCATTATTAATGAGACAGTTCCTCAGGATGAACACATACCCCAAGCTGCTGTAGCAACTGGAGATGAAAAAGAAGAAAAGTTGTCTGTAGAGGACACTGAACCTGAACCAGCTAAACATGGGAACAATTACCTGAAGAAGGTCTTTGAATTGAGAGACAAGGTCAGCTTAAGAAATAAGTCTATTGGAAGGTTGGATTGGAAAAGTTGGGCTCCTGGGCTAGTAAGAACTTGGTGATAAGTGACCTGTATATCTGGGAATGAAAAATCTTCCCCTACATTCACCTGCTAGTCGCACAGTTAACTTGCTGGTATATAGTATATACCCAATTTTGTATCAACTAATAATTCTCTGTACAGGTTAATTTAGAGGAAATCTATAATTTATTAAATGATTTGGCTTTCTCAAATTTAAACATCGGATTTAGTCTTGAAAATCAATATTTAGGTAATAACTGGAATTAAATTTTTCATATCAAATTTTCTATAAAAGGGTAAATGTTCTATTAGTAATACAAGGGCAAATTCTTTCTCTTTTTTGATGAGGCTATAATTGAGAAAATGATAATTAAAATATCTTGACGTTTTAAAATAACATAAATATAATTTTAATAAGGTAGTATTTAAAAGTATTAACAAGTTCTTCCATTTGTTCGTTTTCAAAATTTTAAAATAGAAGTTTACACGCGAAATGTTTTAATATAATAAATTTTCTTTTAATGAAATCTAAGTTGGAAGTTTTCATACAATATGTTGAGAATTTACTAAGTTTGCATTTAATTGATGGATGAATTAATTTATTAGGGTCTTGATAACTAGCATCTTTTAGGTTAGCATTTTTCAGTTTCTAATTAACATATTTTCTGAGACTAATTTGAACATAGACAACTTGCAAAAGTGGAAAATTCTGTACAAGGTTACATCTGTTGGGACTAAATTATAAATTTACTCCAGTTCACTGATTCCTCTTGATGGTTGTACCAAGAAAATCATAAAGTCAGATATAGACAGAGTTGAATAATGCCCCCAGAGCGTATCCAAAACTCATTTACTCGATCGTGAACCATGCATCAAGAGTCGCTTTTCAATGTCACAAAGTAAACGGTCCCAGTGACTTTGATTTGAATGCAAAGAGTTTTCCACTATTCCCACTTGTGTTGTGATAGTTTGAATCAAGCACAACTTTTACAATTCCTTAGCAAGCCACAAAAGAAGGAAAGAACCTTGACAATTATTGTATATTTCTCCATAAACATTCATAGAAAAATAAAATAAAATAATTAAAAAAATTAAAATTAGTTTATATATAAATAAATTTGTAAAAATTCTTCGTTTATCCAAAATAAGTTAATTCTATAAACATTCATTGCTTTATACCCAATGACTCATGGTTTTGCAACTTGCAGTAGACAAACAGCGTTGTAGTTCCAACCAAGGCTATGATTTTTAAGATATTTTTGAGTTTTTTTATTAGATATTTTTTAGTTTTGACTTGACATGATAAAGCATATAGTTCTTATCCTATATTCATATTGCAAAATATCTACCCTACAGTTCCTTTCATCATGATGGGGGGAAAAAATATCATTCCAGGATATAAATTCATATCTCAAACTATCATTGTTTTCGCTTTGTCCAAAATTATGCCTATATTTACAAGAAAGAAATCACCTATATAAGTTTCGTTACAAGTTTTATTACAAGTTCTATGTGAAAGCTGCTCAATGCAAGTGTAACAAAATAGAGTAGGAAAACTTTACACCAACATTAAAAACAAAATTGAGCTAACCAGAGCCACATAAGAAAGCACTAGCAGTTCCATCTATTTTGACTACTACAAACAGAGCCTGAATATATACATGCAATACTAAGATTTGTAGTAAAATCTATTACGTAACATGTGTAAACACCTAGCCTTCAAACACGTGTATTTGCAATGTCATGTGAGAGTGGGGAAACTGAAACTTTGGCGGTTCTACCTTGGGTGAAATCATCAGCACTTTTTCTACGACCACAAGAGGCATTCACAGAACGATTTTGGTTTACATGGGGAAGCTGAAGCTGCTCCAAATCTGTGACAACCTCGTCCATGTTTGGTCTCAACTTGGATTCTGTTGCAAGACATCGCAGAGAGAGTGTGGCTACCTTATAGGCCTCATCTAATGCATATTGGCCTTCAAGACGATTATCCAACACACGCAAAAGCTTTCTCTTGTTGGCTAGGTATGGCTTTGCCCATTCCACCAAATTTTGCTGTCCTGATGGTCTGTTCTTGTCCACAGCTCTCCTTCCTGATAACATTTCCAGCAGCACAACTCCAAAACTGAAGACATCACTCTTAGCACTCAGATGGCCTTCACCAACAAAGATTTTAGTCATTAACCAAAATGATATTAAGTTGAATCTTGTATAAATTTAGTGAAATACTAGTATATGCATCTAAACATTTTTTACACTGTCATGTGATCACAGTTGATAGTCTCCTGTAAATGGTAAGTTTGTTGACTTTCATGTAAAGGATGACTTTTGATTGGATTACGGCGTAAAAACTTTTACACTCAAAGTGCATGTCATCTCTATTAAACCCATAAATTTATGCACTCGAATTAAAAATGCAACATGTTCCCTAATGTGCACAATAGTTGCAAAAGTCAATGGCTGAATTTGCCTTTTGCCTTTTCATGAAGTAAAAAGCCATACTGACCTATATTGTATGTTTTCATGAACCAAATTAAGTAGTAGTGCCAATTTTAGAGACTAAATGAATATTTATTTAGCACAATACCTGTGGCTAGATATTCAGGAGCTGCATATCCATAGGTTCCCATTACCCTGGTGGAGACATGACTTTTGTCACGTGTTGGCCCATCCTTTGCCAGCTCCAAATCAGCAAGCTTTGCATTATAATTCTGTATCAAATCAGCAAGGAAATCTTCAGATATGATATCTTAAGAGTTTCCTGTATTCATCAAACCAAATTGCCATGTGTGTGCAAAGGGCACATACTGAATCCAGCAAGACATTTGAAGTCTTGAAATCTCGGTATATCACTTTTGTTTCGGCACTGTGAAGAAATGCAAGCCCTTTGGCAGCTCCAAGTGCCACTTTCAAACGGAGGCCCCAAGAAAGAGGTTGAAAATATGAGCCTCCTGTTACAACAATTAATATTGCTAATGTTAGGCACACTTCACAAGTTCAACAATGTGAAAAGATGGAACACGAAGAACTCACTCATGAACAAGTGATTCTCCAAGCTACCACGAGGCATAAATTCATACACCAGAAGACGGCTTTTATCTTCAAAGCAATACCCAATTAATTTCACTAGATGGGGATGAGAAAGCTGTCCTAGATAGTTAACTTCAGCCTAAAATAAAAAGAAAATTAAAATACATCAAGACAAATCTATTGTTAGGATACAAACAAGTTCCACATCGATAAAATGAAAAAAAAAATAATTTATAAAATACACATACTCTAATATTTGAGAGACCTTGATGTTCAAAAATAAAACATATTTATAACATTACTATTCATGAATTTAATACACATCCGTGGAAAGATTCTAACATTGTTATTCGATCAGAAATCAATAATCATTCATAAAAAGAAGTCAACAAACTTTCCATAACGGTGATTTGTAATTGATGACATTATAAAAAACTTACACTGTCGATACATATATTAGCATTGTTTAAAATGTATTCATATTGAGTTTAACTTAGAAGAAAAACATGGATGAGATAAGGCACCTCGAGACTAGCTTCATGAGTCATACCATGCCTTGCCTATAAATAAATATTTTTCTCAAACATAAATTAATAGTTAACATGTAACAGAGGCAGTGTTGCTTCAAAATTAGCAAGAATAAAGCAAAGGGTTTAAAAAAGTAGTTAAAATTAAGAACTCACCAACCAATCCTGTTGACCTTGGAAGCTATCCTTATCAATTCTTTTCACAGCAACAACAATCCCCGTGCCAGGTTTGGCAGCAGACAGTGATTGATCATTAATCCAGCCCTTAAAAACTGATCCAAAACTACCTTCTCCTAACACACTGTCTGTACGGAAATTTCTTGTGGCAGCTGTAAGTTCTGTCAAACTAAAGTTCTTCAGATTGGATGGCTGCAAGATCTCACCCTCACTCTGGGGAGTCTGAGGCACTGTAACCTCTGAGACCTTATCAATTGTGCTGCTGAGATCATTTGTAACTTCACTTCTTGAACTGCTAGGATCTTTTGCATCGGCACTCACATGCTTTGAATTTAACTCTGAGATGATATGTATCAATATAATTAATGTTAAATTTTCGTAAACCGCCTGTCATATATCACACATTCACTTGGCTGAAAAAATGGATGTTAATTGATGTTTAGTTATAAATCATATTAATATATTATTTAGAAAACACTCGAATTCCCATGATTAAAATTAGACAAAAGCACTGAAGGAGTACTTTCCATTATATTGACACGAGATATTTGTCATCAAAAGAACAAAAAGAGTATAGCTGACAAACCAAATCCATTAAACAACTGGAAGAGCTGGCAACTGGCAAGGAAGCCAAGCTTAGTTAAACCAACTTTATCTAACGAAAATTCTCACTATGGTCTTTTAAAACCGATGGGGGTGAAAAGGAGCAGAAGTTGAGTGAAATAGAAGTGGAGAATACCAAAATCAAACAACACAAACACATGGATCTAAACTGCGTTCAGCAGCAAGTAGGGTGGAGGCAAAGAAAAGAAAAAAGATTGGAACATATAAATACCAGTGTTACATAAGCGGCCAGCTTTATTTTGGGAGCTCAAACAAACCCCCATGAGAGAAACTATACTAGTTCCTTGAGCCTTGAGCCTTGAGCCTTGTTGCCTATGGATCACAAAAAGGGCAAGGCATAGGCATACATATGAGGTCCAGCACCAGCAGAAACCATGATCATGAATTGGAAAGAAAACAACATAGATATTATATTATCACATAAAAAGATGAAAGGTGAAGAAAAGGCCAAGGAGAACCTGTTTGCCGTAAAGTTGAGTGAGTGGATATGATATAGGAAGAAGGAGAAAGGAAGGAGGTACAAGGGTACTGAGATGCAAGTAAGGCATTAATATTAGTGGTTGTGGTATGCTGTGTGGTCCCTAGAGAGAGAGAGAGAGGGGAGAATATTCAAAATCTAAAGTTAAGGAACAAGTTGACCAGAGTAGAAGATAAAAAAGCTTGGAAGGATAAGTAAAGACATTGAGATAGTGTTGTTGATGGAGACGAAGGAAGGTGGGTATGGCTAGTCAAGTGGCATTCCATGCCATGGTGTAATCAGTAATGGACCCCCTTTTAGCTTAGTGTTCATTGGTCGCTCCCTTCCTCCATTCTTGTTGATGCATTGTATAGCATCTTCAACTAAAAACAAAATCAAGTTAACCTTCGTATTAGCAAGAGAAGAGAAACTGTATGGATTAACCCCCTCTTCTTCAAAAATTGACTTGAAACATCAAACATACTTTTCTAACATGAACTATAGTTATAATTAATTTCAACAGTTCTAAGTTACAAAACAATATTAACTTTATTAAATAAAGTAAAATATATTCACATTATGTTGGTAATCAAATCTTTAAGTAAAATTTTAAACGAGTATTAATAGAAGGAAGGGAATCTACTTATTAAAAAAAAGTTTTTTATAAATTTATTTCACTGAATAACTCATATTTTACATTAATCTTAATTATTCAACCATTAAATTAAAAGTTTTTAAAACATATACGAGTTAATTTAATATAAAACATGAATTATTGAATGAAAAAGTCTATCAAGACTTATTCTTGGAGTAAAAACCTTTACTTTAACGGTTAAATCGTTAAAATTTAATGTAAAATACGAGTTATTAAGTGAAACAAATGAATCAAAACTTACTTTTAAAGTAAATAGATTTCTCCTCTAATTAAAAATAAATCTTATTAAAAAGTAAATATAATTTTACAAGTTACTTGAAAGTGATTTACTTTATATATCATATTTACTCATATTAATAAGGTCGTTATATTTAATGTATTATCTACTTTAAAAAATTAATCAATGAGTTATGACGATTATATCTTTAAATCATAAATAAGTAGACTAAAATGAAAAATATTATAAACATCATAATAAAATAAGATTAATCATAAGCAAAGTTAGTAAATAATTTTTCAGAGTTATAGTATAATAATAAAAAATATAGTGAAAACAAAATAAATAATTTTGTACAAAATTAAAGAGTAAAAATAAAATTTAATGATTAGCCGTTGAATTCTTAAAATGTTGGTTACTCTGTAAAAAAAAGAAGAAAAAAAAGACTTAGATAAGTTTTGGTGTATCATGTATGTATGTAAATTAAGGTGATGGGAGTTTCTTCTTCTTGTGTGGCGTAAGTGAATAGGGTCCATCTAACTTTGTTGCCACTTCACGCAACTCATGTCATGTTCCACACGCCGCCCCTTGTCGTCTTATGCTATATGCTTATTGCTTAACTCATTTTAACTAATTAATCTTCTTCTTAATTTCACTACCATACAACACACTGAGTTTCTTGCGCCTTCCAAAACCCATTAAATTTATTTCCCGTCGGCTTTACAATTCTAATCGATGACCACTTGTCACTACCTATACAATTTTAACTCAATTTTTATGGGAAAAAAATCCATTTTCACCACATTTGAATACGGACTTTTCTCATTTGAAAATTTGGGTTTGAGTGTAAATTTGGATATGTAACTCAAAAAGATATTATATATATATATATATATATATATATATTTATAAGTATTTAAAATAAAAATACAAATTAATTATTTTAATAATTAGATCATTTAAATAACAATAATTAATAAAAAAAATTTAAATATAATTTTAATTCTTTTAATTTCTCTCTTATTTATTATTTTTTAAATATTATTTATATTATAATAAAATTATTAACTTATAATTTAATTTATTTAAATGCATATGTAGATTAAAATTTTTAAAAAAATGTAATGGGTCTTTGTGGATTTACTTAAACTCTAAAATCGAATCCACTCTGACAGGAACGAGGATATGATTAAAGATATAAATTTGCCTCTTTAAAATCTAAAATCGAATTCACTCTGTCTTTTACTGGATTGGGGACAAGGACAACGATGAAAAGATAAAAATTCACTTCTAACTCGTCCCGATGTCATCCAATTGATCACATATATAAAATATACATTAGCTTAAATAATAATAGCTTAAAAATATTAGTGTTGTCAACATTCTCAAGCACACTCCTCTTAACACACACATTTTTATTGGTTAAAATTTATTAAAAATTCACAAAATCATAAGAGATAGTCATTAAATACGGTATGGACCCACTAAATTTTGTGATTTTCAATAAATTTTAACCGATGAAAGAGGATGTGTTTAAAAGGATGTGATAGAAAGTGTTTTGTCAGCATTTAAAGTAATTTTTTAGTTTTTTTAACTTCATTTACTTCATTTTTTAATCCCTATAGTTTAAAATAGACATTTTTAGTTTCTACACTTATATTTTTCAATATCTTTAGTCCCTATAATTTAAGATAAATCTCTTAAGTCTTTTTCTTATAATTTTTAAATCATTTTAACCCATATCATTAAATTTTTTAATATTGTCTCTTTTATATTGACATGATAGAAGTATTAATATAACTTTGTATCTTATATTAAATTTGTTTTTGTTATAATTATTCTAAATTAGACCTCTCGATATTTTATGTCATTTTTGTACTCTTGCGAAATTCATTGTTGAAATATATTTTTTTATTCTCACAAAATTAAAAACTTCTATCATGTCAACACAAATTACATTACAAGAAATAATTAATAATAAAAATGAAAAGAATTAAAAAACTTTAAATATAGAACCTAACAAAATATATCTAACCATGAAGATTAAAAAAATGAAAAAAAATGAATAAAAATTTAAAAGATTTATTTTAAATTATAGATATTAAAAATTAAAATAAGTGAAAATACGTAAATTAAAAAAAAAAATATTCAACCTAAAATATATATAATCTATCACGCATTTCGTAAGATATTTTAAAGTAGTGAATAAAGTCAACTATAATGAAAGCTTAATTCTTAATCACTACTATTGATAAACTACCGTACACGTAAAATATCAAATATACTATTTGCAATTTTGTTGATGTTAGATATTTGACTCAATTCAACTTCCACCGCAATTAAATATTAAAATATGAACTTGTTGATAAAGCCTCTTCCTTTAAATAATATATCAACTCTGTTTAAAAATAAGTTGTTGTTTTTATCTCATAATATACTTACCATACTCACCTAATGCATCACATCAATATTACAACCATGATGGGCTGTCCCAACCGAGAGAGTCTTTATTTATTTCCAATAAAGAATCAGAAACCAAATTATAATGCAGTACAAGTAGGTTATTTTCAAGAAAGAAAGAAAAAAGTAGTTGTCAAAGAATATAGATTAACAGACACAAATCTATGCCGATACAGCTAGCTAGGTCTTCTTTGTCCTTACCCTAGTGATTTCTAATTTTCTACTCAACTATATTTGTTTCAAAAGACATGGGCTCTTTATTTTTTTTAGTTTAAAGAACAAGGAAAGAAACATTCAAAATAAGTATTTAATATTTAATCAAATAAAAAAATATTTTTGAGACAATATTAGTATAATATATTTACATATATCTAAAATTCGACTATTTTTTTTACAAATATAAAATTATACAATATATTAATACTTGTATTTGTTCTTATACAAATTCAAATTGCGTATGAGTCGAGTTGAACTCCACGTGAGCATGACCCTACTAAATTAAGCTCGACTTAATAAACCTTGAATGTCACCTAGGTATTAGTTAGAAAATAATCCTTGTATCATATCTCCAAGAATTTCAGGACACATTAAAGAATAACACTTCAGAGGTAGTATCTCTTTCATTAAGCATCATGCATAAAGATAAGAGCATAACTGCAAATATCATGTTAGATTATCTCCTAAAATATGCAACATTATTAAACACCTATATATGGAGTTTGAGTATCATTATACAGTAATCTCATTCTTAATATAAATTTCTTTTTACTTAAGCGTTTGAGTGTTTTTGTAGGTGCCCCTATCACCTCGAATATTAGAGCAATGAAGACATCATCTCAATCTTAGAACACTTGCAAATTATGGTAAGAATATTTGGCACCCATTGTGGGACTGAAGTAAAACTATTTTTCGGTCACACATGATTTTCATCCAAAATCAAACGATGAAAAACAAAATGGCAAACAACAATGTAGGCTCCATCCCCGAACAATAGCCTCTTAACTCGGTAGCCACCACAACCCCGCTCGTCGAACTTGTGGTTACCACCACCACCATAAACCCACATATTTCACCATCCAACGCTGAATTACTACAACATACGAAGGTCATGTAAAAATGTTTATAAAAAAAAACTCTAGTTACCCTTTACCAACAACATGAGATTAATTACATGTGCTATAAAGTCGATCGCACAAGTTATGAGTAGGAACTATAGGCCCTATATCATGAGAATAACAACACTCTCTAAGGAACTAACATCTCAACAATAAAGGAATACACTCCTTCTAGATCATCCCAAGACACACACATTGTGCAAGAATCCTAGCTTGGCGAGGAGAGCCATTCCCCTCCTTGAATCCCACTAAGACGACTCAGTGATGAACTTTGTAATCATCCCTTTACTAACGTCATAGTCGACAAACCACTTCCCAGAGGTTGGAAGCACCTCATCATGAAAGCATACAATTTCTCAACTTGACCCAATGAACACTTACAAAACCAAAATGCACCTCTATACCTAATATGATGCGGCCAGGAGCAAGATCTTTCTCATAACGCTTGAAGGTCATGCACTCTTAAATAAAGTTTGATCCCTTCCCAATTGCTTAATTAGAATTTTAGAATATTATAGATAAATATATATATATATTACAAATTACTCTTGCAACATATTGAAAAAATAAACTTTCAATCATTTCAAACTACTCTCATTTTTTGTTATCAAAAAAATACTTTCATTTTATCTGTCTATATATTTTATTTCCCAACTGTCTACTCCTTCTAATTTACACTCTATTATGTCTATTTTTAAATTAAAATCAATTATTATATATAAAACACAAATATTATCTTACATGATAGCATCTTTTTAAAAAAATTTGACGAAAATATTCTTAATTTTTTTAATTTTATATTTATTTTGATTTTTATTTATCATAATTATTTATGAATTAAATTTTAATATTATAAAATACATTATCAATAAATAAAAATAATTTTGTACTACAATATAAATTATTTACCATAAATCTAAAATATAATTTATATAAAAAATTATCTATTTATTCAAATTTTAAATTTAATCTATATATTCAAATATAATATTTAAATATATATACATAATTTATTTACAATTTTAGCCTTGCATAATAAACATTTAAAATATATCAATAGTTAAAAATTTTATTATATCACGTTTTAAGTTAGCAATAGTTAAAAATGATATTATATCACGTTTTAATTTTTTTTATAAAATTAAAATATAAAAATATTTATTTAGTATAAATGTTATTTATATGAAGAAAAAAAAAACATCTAGCTTGTCCAATATATAGGCTAAAAAACATTTGTTTGATAAGCTACATATTTTTTTTTTCTAGTTCCCATTTTAGATAGTGGAGATATAGTGCTTGTTTGGATTATCATTCAAAATCATATAAACGAAAATTCTCTCTTTCCAAAGCAGAAAATGAGACATGTTTAACGGCTGTTTAAGGATTTCTCACGCTAAATCAACCACATTGAAAGTGATCTCACGAATTCTTATATCGCCAGTAATCAGGATAACTAGTTTTTTGTTTTAATTTTACCAATTGAAATATTGTTAAATTTTTTAGGATCTCTGTAAGACGGCAAAATTGGATGGAAATGCAGGATAGCATTTTTTTTTCCTAGTAGATGAATCAACTGGCCATTATATTTTCTTAACAATTCAGCTCAACAATATGGTTGGTACTTATTTGGGAGTTTTTATAAGATAAAAATACAAATATCTATTGATTTATTTTAGTCTCTAATCTTTCTCTTATCTTATGACAGGAAATTAAACCAGGAAAGTAGCAAAAGTTTTTTAATTGTAAAAGTTCAGAGACACAAATGTGAAATGCCCACGTGGGCAAGCATATTAGAGTAACAAGTCACATAGGAATTACCCAATGAATCATCATTTTTCTGACTTGGTAAAAGTAAGCCGTTTATAGATAAACTAAATAATATAAAATTAAACACCAAACTGATTATATGTATATCAGATTTTTTTAAAAAATAAATTACAAATATCTTTTCCAAAGTTGCATTCTTATTTCAGTACTTAACATAGCACCATGCTTTTGTCACCTATTACCATACAGCAAGCCAGTAATATGAACGATTATGACTAATGCTAAACATTATAAATCAAACTATTACTACCATGTCATTTAATTATTTTTAATAACAAAGCATACTTTTTCTGCAATATACAATGAAAAAGAGTATATTAGAAAAAAAACAACCACCAAAATTTCAAAGCTGAATCTCTTTAGAAGCAAAAGCATCTCTCTATTGTTTAATAACAACTTATTTTAATTTTTTTTCTCAATTAAAAATGACTTTATTTAATAAGCCAACATCCTAAATTTGACCAAAACCGTAATTATGTTACCGTTCAATTTGCAACGATGTCATTCTAATGAACCTTAAACAAAAGATGTTAAGCGTTTGTTCAAGGCTTCTACATGCACAAATTTGATTCATTGCAAAAAGAAAAAGTGAATCTAATCTGAGAGCACGTTGGTCGACGGATGAAGTGAACAAAAAATTACCGGTGCATATTTAACTTTTTAAGTAATGGAATGAAAAAAGAAATCCAAATTAAGCCTTTTCCAGGTGAATAGAATGGAACATTATTCATAAAATTACAACAGGTATTCCATCATAAAATTGAAAGAACCTTTTTTTAAAAATAAATCTCAAATTTACTTCCCTAAGCTATAAAACGGCTTAAAAAATCTAAACCCTCTGTTAATCTCTAAAATTCCCTTGGGCACGTCATATTTTCATAGGCCCAAATAAATATCCGGAAAACAACCATGGGAGTCCTGCTCAAGAATAGTGGTTGTTAGCCTAAATAGCACAAGGCTTTTGACAAATAATATAAACATTATGCTGATTAAGTTAAACAGGAAAGGAAAATAATATTTGCAGCAAGCAACAACCACCAATTTGCTAACTCACCAGATAAAGAAATACAAACTGTCATATGCTCTGGCAGATTTGTATTCGGATAATAAATAATGATGCAGAAAAAAAAATGCATATCATCCAGTAATCATGCTATGGCTCAAATTAATCTGTTTGATTTGCAAACCAATTACTTTTTAAATGGAGATCAACGGACACATTTTACAAGGTATAACAACTCTACCATATTTGAATACCACTAATCCAAATCAGCTGATGATCAAAGCTTTCTGCTTCAATTTGCCTCCTTTCACAAAACAGAATGAAGCAATATCTGGGAGTGGAATGGACCTAATACAAGGAGAGGGGTAGTTCGCAACGGTGATGATCTCCATAAAGGATAAACAATTTTAGGTAGCAAATAAACCCAATCAATCAAGCAACAGGATTAGCACAGTGATTGCAGCAGCAGTAATTTATTTAGCAAGGATTATTGTGTATTAAAATAGCAAATTAGTATTCTTTCCAAGATCTCATTTTTCAAGACCAAAAATGTGAGTAATCGAACAGCAATCAAAGTAATAATACTGAATTAACAGTTTTCCAATGGAACATGCTAACAAACATCAATCTTGTGTTGCAGCTCCTTGGTTGAGCTCCGCAAACCTCATGCCAACCCGCATAGAGTGCTTCAGAAACTTCTCTGCACATCTTCGAACACAGGTTTCCTCTTGCTTTTGCAGAGATTTATGCTTAAACGTGTCCACACAATCATTAAAGCACCTCTCAACCAGTGAATTATACATTCTCAAACTGCAACAAAACATAAATCTTAATCATGATCCCCATCTTATACCAAACCAAAAGGAAAACTACACAACACCAAAATAAAATAACCCCTCAGACTTCATACATTATCTCTCATCAAGCACAAACAGTGATTAATCATCGTACCATGTCAAGGTCTAAACTAAAACACAAAGGCATTTATATGTTCAAGCTTCAAACATCTACATTTCACATAGAAAATGCCACAATCTAAAATTAATCTGACTTATTGCAAAACCTAGTCAGTGTAGGCAACAACTAAATACAGGATAAGAAACCTCATTTAACAATGTTGTTCCCAAAACGTCCAGAAACAACATCCACAAGTTGCGCTGGTTTTAAGGAGAACTTCACTATGGGCTTCATAGAAAGAGCACACACACAAAAATTTTCGAAGCAATAGTGCTGCCCATGACTTAAATTAACACGAAGCCCTAGCCCCCAAATCTAAAAGGGGGTGAAACTCAATAGTGAACACATGCACGCTCATAACAGTAAACACGAAATTGCGAGTTTTGCAAAGCGGAAAAGTAATAAATGTGGGAACTTTAAAGGAAAAAGATTTCACCTGTCACGGATTTGGAGCTGATCGATCATGGCAGACATTCGTTGCTTATCTGCCTCGGGAAGCGAGTCCAAATCCGCTAACATGCTCTTGTCCATACTTGATCCGCGGATTAGTGGGCGTCGAGGGTTTTCCGAGAATGTACGGAAGGAACTGCGATTTTGTTCAGCGTTTGGAAGTAAACCCTAAACTCAACAGTGGTTTGAAGAAGATGATCGTATATATACCTCACACCACTTCCCACTAAACGCATCATTGCACCGGTACTATGTTTGCGTTTTGCTTTAGGCCCTTTTCTGTCTTTTAAAAATAACCCTAAAAATTATCATAAAATTAGGTTAAAATGTAACTCCTTCTTTAATCTCTTACAAGTAGATCCCGAAAACTAAAATTCATAAAACTGTCGTTAATGGTTATTTTTATTTTAGTATATTCACAATTTTATTTTATTTGTTATTAATTTTTGTCAAAAGAGTTTAACTAATTATTTTTAGTAGGTTTCCTCTCCTAATTAAATTCTTTTTATTCACAGGATTTGAACAGAGATGATACTTAAGAGATTCAAATCCAATTCTATTAAAACTAAAGACTTTTTGGTAAATTTATTTTTATTTATGTAAGTTATATATATATATATATATATATATATATATATTATTTTTGAAACAAAATAAACAAGGACAATATCGTACGACATGTCCATCGAACTCGAATCCACGTATTCAAGTCCAAAATCTATGTTGGGCCAACCTTATTTTTAAGCCCAAGAAGTTAAATCTTGAACAAAAAGATCGTCCTGATCCAAAAATTGATTGGGTCGTCAAACTGGACTAAATTAAAAAAAATAAAGTTATATAGATTTAAATACACTTACTTTTATTAATCAATTAAACATAGAAAAAAAATCAAATAAAGGCATCATTTCATTACTATACATATAAAAATACATAAAACAGATATTTATTATATTCTTACTCTTATTCGATAAATCATGTTCATCTGAAAACGTTAAATGCAGCTAATAGCAACCGAGCTACATACTTCTGACAACAAATATTTTTGTTCATTTTTATATTTTACGTGAAAATCATCAGTTGTTAAAACAAATTTAGTTTTTGATTACCAACACGTTGTTGCTTCCGGTAAAATGGAACTCATTTTTTTTTTTTAAGTAAGGTCTTAATTTAAATTTTGAGTATATGTGATTAGAAGATAGATGGAAAACTCAAAAGACATGAGAGATCAATCCATACCATTAGAAAATCCCAATTCTTTGTTAGGGGAGATATTATATTTGAATTTCGAATAATTTCATTTTAGTGTTTTATTATCGAGAAGAAAACTGTATAAGTAATTCATAAAGTTATCAAATTTTTTTATAAATTTATGTTAAAAAAATATTGGATACCATTCCATGGCATTAAAATTTAACAATGTAAAAAATTATGACTTTCGTGCTTGTATATTGAGCAATACCTTGGAAAAAAAAAGTGTGAGGTCATATAATTTATTTTATGCAATTCATGTAAAATCCATTGATAATGGTATTTTTTAGTGTATATGATCTAAAAATGATCTGGTCCATTGAATGAGAAAAATAGAGGAATTATCTAGTGTAGCCCCCAAAAGTAGTTATTTTCTTGACCTTTAAAATGGGACAAAATGAGAAAGGATGGGCGAAACAATGAACACAATTGTCAAAGTTTTTGATGGCATAGAGAGAAAACGCGCAAGTGAAAAGCTGGGAGGGTGGTGCACCTTCATGCTTAAGGTGGCTAGTGCCTATCAATTCTCTTAATATAGTCAAATCTCATGGATTCTGTGTATGCTCAATGCTTCCCATTCTAATTATAAAATATCTCTCATTATCACTTCTACCAATTCTTTTTAACCTTCCTTCTACCCTTTGCATTTTCTTTCACACATCACACAGGTTTTTTGACTTTACACTCAAACATTCTCTTTGCCCATTCTACACCATTTGCTACTGTGTTCACAACATGAAATTCAACAATCCATTAAGAAAAAATAAAGACAATTTTCCTGAATGATGCGCATCCTCTTGATCAATAGCCAGATTTAATTAGAGAAAATAGAATTTCATTTTGATTCGTCAATGTTATTTGTAACTTATGATTGTATGAAATATGACAACCCAATGGCGATTTTGTAATTTATAAATTTTGGAATGAACTAATGATAAAATAAAACTTATGATTACAGATACACTTTTATTGGATGTGATTATGTGAACCACATTACATTATCAGATGGCAGACTATATGATTTTTAAGAGGTGTGCTCACGTACGTCTTTAATAGTGGATATTTCCAACTGATACATGATTAAAAAAAATATATGATTTTGAACAAAGATAAAAAAAAAATTTAATTAATTTACTCTTGATTAGCTCTCCTCGCCTATAGATTTTAACTCGTTGAGGGGAAAAATTTAAAAATACCTGAAAAGGCAAGCAAAAGTGAAGTACATAAATATAAATTGAAGTAAAATAAAAGATATAAAATGTTTTGTTTTTAAAATAATTTTGTTGACTAAGTTATGGAAAGGGGAAAAGTCAGCTAACTATCAATTTGAGACATTGATATTCATATTTTTAGACATTCAACTCTGGCATTTGTTTTCATGCCCTTTAAAATTGAGGAAAACAAAATTGTAAACCATAAAAATGGGACAGCTTTATAAAAGTTGTTTCTTTTTATTTTAGTGTATTTTTTTTTAAACGTATATATGTGTGTGTAATAAAAATGTTAAAATTGTTTGATAGCTAATTTATGTCCATGATTGATAATTTTTGGAGGCTTCTAAACAGAATTCCTTCTGTTGACCAATTCATGGATGGATCGATGGTGAGAGGAATTCAATAGTATACGGGAGCTGTGATAATGAAGATAAATTGACTAATGAAAAGTGGATAAGCTGCTAAAAAAAAAAGTTATTATTATCGAATTAAGTTCAACGCATTAATCAATTGCATTTTAATTTGTAAGAAAAATTAAAAATATCTCTTGTGAGTTCTGACCAGATCTTCCTTATTCATTATTCAATTTACTTGAGAGTTTTACCAAGGACAAATCAAATTCTAGTGCTGCAAGGAAAGCCAACCTTGACTTGCATTGCAATAAAATAAAATAAAAATAAAAAAGAGGGTAATGTAAAAAATAATTAAGCATCAATCCATATTAGACATAATGGTTGAAGTGGAGAGCATTAGGATGCAAACCAAATTGTTTTGGGCAGATAACCAAAAAGGTCCACGATGTAATAAGAGACATCGCACTAAGCTTAATTAATTATTTATTTTTCTATAAAAAAAAGAATAAAAAAAAAGTAGAATGACAGCAATGGTTGAAGTCTGAAATTCTCTCAAGTGGAAGCATTTTTAATTGTACATAATAATATTAAATGAAAGTCAAGTTTAAGGATCCAAAGCTAGATTATTATAATTATTAACATTCCTTTCACCAAGCAAGATGACTCGATGTCTTAGCCCATAATGTTTCTTCTGGAGAAGTTTTAAAAAAACCCAATTGCTATTGTGCTTCCAATCAAACATAGTTTGCATGCGCAACTTGATGAGTTCTTCTTTGGCATATAATATCTGGCATTTACATTAAATAGTCATGTATAGGGATTGTGATATCATTATCAAAATGAGTATGAACTACCATTTCACCAGTTAGTGAATTCTAAACTTTTAAACTCGCCTAGTAGGGATGCATAACCAATACCTCAAAAATACAATTAAAAATTGATAAATAGTTTTATAATAAAATTACCATAAAATTTATTAATAATACTAAATATTATACTAACTTAAACATACATATGCTTAGAGATTCACGTTGATAAAATCGATATTATATTTAAAATATGTGTTATAAAAATCTCACATCAACTAATTATAATATGATCAAATCTTAGAATAATTTTTTTTATAAGTTGATTTTATATAATTATGTTAGATATAGTGTTGTTTACTATTGTTAAGACATATTTTTGATGTAAAAAAATGGGAGACATATTTTAATTTTATTTTCAATCTACAAAGGCACAATGTTAACATTCACCTAATTAATTATCTATATTATGACGGATTTGTGCAGCTGTTTTTGTTTTTTTTTTCTTGGGTGGACAATGTTTGTGCAACTGTTAATAAAATGACAAAAGTGAGAAAGGGTAGGTGGGTCATGCAGATGGAGGATTGTGGAGAAGGTGGCATGGAAAGGTCTTTCCACTTGCAAATAATGAATGATGATGGCATTGAATTCTCTCTCTCTCTCTCTGTGTGTTACGAACAATAGCAAATTATATGACTATGTAAATTTGATTATACTTTATATTATATTTTAAATATTACCTAAACAACGTGTTATTTTTATATAAATAAATAAAAAGATAATATAATTATTTTTAGATCCCTTTCTCCACTGTTTATTAATAACAGTCGGATTTTTTAAAAAAAATAAAAATTGATTATCTGAGAATATATATTTTTTGTCTTGATCTGGAGAGAGAATATAAGTTTGTTGCTTATAAGTTACGTGCGATAATTTGTGAGCGTAGATTTAAAAAATATTAGGGTTTGGAGTTAGGAAGCAATCACATACCTAAAACTATTTATGTATTTGTGTTTGTCTGGTAATGAGACACAGTGGTTTTAATGAGTTGACAAGTGTCCGAATTTTATAAGTTCCATGTGTTCCACCCACACCCCAATTCGTATATTTTCCGAAGATTTCCACCACCCATATCAGACTCCTTCTTCTCACTTCCCCATCTATTATCCGATTCTAAAACCAACACTAAATTTAATTATTCTTCATAAAATCTTTCTTCATCTTTCATGTTCATCATCATGCTTTTCAAACATAGATTCATACCAAAACTAAACAGCTAAGCACCATTGTTTAGATACATGGAGCACAATTTTTCATTCTTATTTTGGTTCCAGATCTAACAAATTTAATATAAAACCTCATTCTTACAAATTTTACTATTAGAGATTATTTTATTGCTTAACTATGTGGTTCAAGATTCAATTTTTACTCCATGAATTAAAAAAAAATAACCTTAATAATATTTTTAATTTTTTTGACTCGAAAATACCAATTACGTAAAAAAAATCGAGGTTCAAAAGAAGCACCCGTGACTACCATTTGGTTATGAATTATATATATATAATCTTATTTTATAATTTTATTTTCGTCTTATATGTGTTTGGGATTGTATAATTTTATTATATTTGTTTTTGTTTCTACAGTAGGACACAGGTTCAAATTTGATACAGTTAATATTGCAATGTGAAAGAAAAATGTCATCATGACACGCGGTTTTTGATATAATATCAAAACAAAACTATATCCTTCTAATAATCGATTCGAGACCCTTCACCTTTTTTCTTTTCATAATGAAAAACGAGAACAAGTCTTGCTCGCATGAATAATTAAAAAACGATGTTAAATAAAAGAAATAAATGTTAACCAGTATTAAAGAATGAAAAGAGATCAAATTTTATTAAAAAAATATTAAGATAATACTTTTATATAATTTTTAATATTTTAATTTATAATAATTTATAACCAATATCTTTAAAATATTTATTAATGGTGTCCTTAATAAAACAAAATATAAAAAAAATTGGCGTAATATTTGATTGAGACGCGGAAAATAAAGGAGTGCAAGATGTCTCCAAAACCCGCCTCATGAAGGAATCGATTGTAACTTAGAAGGATAAATTATGTGACAACAATTGTATTGTCGCATACTACAAAAGTCAAGTGTAAAGTATTTGTTTCTCCCCACAAAACTTAATAGATTTCGTTAATAAAATTATTTCTTGATGGGAAGCACCTAGCTGGTAAAACAACCATACAGACATTTATTTTCTTGATCATGTACATAGCTATATACATTGCAAGGTTGTTTTTTTAGTTTTTTCTTTTAATTTAGTACACTATCAGATATGATGAGGTTTAATTATGAAATAATAATTATTATATACAAAAATAAATGAGCATAAATGACATGTCAATTGATAATTAATTAATATGTGAAAAAAGTTTATACTACTAATCTATTTTAATTAAATTGTAGCAAATAATAATATTTATTATTATTTGCAATATGCAACTTTAGATATATTAATAAAAGCATGATTAATATAATAAAGAAAAAAAAAAAAAAAAAGTATGGGTGATGAAACACATTCGAAATGTGTGAAGATTGAATTGAAGGTGTAATAAGAAAAGAAAGTGAATGGAGAAATGGGCTACATTTAAATCCACATTAGTCAAATTACCTAAATATTCAGGCTGTGCAGTGATGGCAGCATTACTAATATCGAACCACCCCACCAACACATTCAATTTTTCTCTCTCTTCATTTCAGTGTAAACAAAAAGCCGAAATTCTTGACATTTTTTTATTAATTTACTTTCGAAATAAAACAGTATCGGGAAGGCTGAAGTTGACAAATAATAGGAGGAAATGAATGAAAGGGTGACACGTGTCCGTGGACCTTAATGTGTTGTAGAGATGGAATCGAACGGCGGTGGTGGCACGCTTTCCAAGATCTGAAAAAGAAATAATTTAGGGGCGTGTTGACTTTTGGATATTTAAGCAGAATTTATGAGGGTCATTTAAATTTCACCCTCCTTTTTCTCCCGCAACACAACACAACACAACAAACAAACACGACAACAACGCTCTCAACATCACAATCATTCATCCCCACGCGAATCTCATCCACTTGCCACACCGCGTGCACCCCACGCTCCACACCCAAACCCTAAACTTTTACTTTATCTCACGCATAGTCAACGCCCCACTCCAAAAAAATCCCCCCCACTCTTTTTTTATTATTTTCATTTAAACAATTAAGTAAAAAAACCAACTGCGTTTTCTTATTTTAAAAAATAAAAAACCTATATTCCAAAGTCAACGCTCTCTCTCTCTCTTCTTCTCATCTCAACTTCAACTTCAACTTCAACTTCAACTTCTCTTTCTTCACATAGCTACTTCTCTTTCTCTCTCAAAATCTCTCTGCTTCCTCATCTTCTCCACCATGAATAATAACAACCTGTTGTAGCAACAGCAATAGCAATAGCAAGAAGCAAGAGAAACCCTAAACCTCGTCAATTTTTTAATTATTTTTTATTTTGGTGTTCCGATGGGAAACGGCATAGGGAAGCTAACGGTGTGCTTCACCGGGAACAACGGCGGGGGGAGGCGGAAGCAGGACATATCGATTCTGATAACGGAGCCTCTAGACGAGGGTTTGGGGCACTCGTTCTGCTACGTGAGACCCGACCCGACACGGGTCTCGTCGTCCAAGGTCCACTCGGAGGAAACGACGACGTTTCGAACAATCTCGGGGGCGTCGGTGAGCGCGAACACGTCGACGCCGTTGTCAACGGCGTTCGTTGACCTTTACTCGTACGGATGCATCGACAGGGCCGCGGCGTTCGAGAGTTCAACCTCGTTCGCCTCGCTCCCTCTGCAACCGATTCCGCGGAACCACGCCAACTCTGGGCCCTTCTCGGGGAACTTGGGAACGGCCTTTCCGGGCTCGGGCCCGCTGGAGAGAGGGTTCATGTCGGGCCCAATCGAGCGCGGGTTCATGTCCGGGCCCATCGATCGCGCCCTGTTTTCGGGTCCCATGGAGAGGGAAGCGAATGGAAACGGATCGGATCAGTTTCAGAGAAGCTTCTCACACGGTGGTTTGGGATTAGGGTTGAGAGTGAGGACTAGGAAGGGACGCTGGATTCGCGTTCTGCAGAGGGCGATTTCCAAGACTCTGTCTCGGGGGCAGAGCTCGATTGTAGCTCCGATCAAGGGGGTGGTCGTCAAGGAGCCCGACTGGATGGTGGCGGCGGCGGCGGCGGCGGCCACGGAGAAGCACCACAATGAGAATCTCAGTGTCAATTTGAGCAGTGAAGGGAGTTTGGAGGATGATGATTCCATGGAGAGTCAGAATCTTCAATGGGCTCAGGGGAAAGCAGGGGAGGATCGTGTTCATGTTGTTGTGTCTGAGGAACACGGTTGGGTTTTCGTGGGGATCTATGATGGTTTCAGTGGACCTGATGCACCTGATTACCTTCTCTCAAATCTCTACAACTCCGTGCACAAGGAGCTCAAAGGGTTGTTGTGGGATGACGGCTCTGCCCCGGAGAATTCCGTGGCAAAAGAGGACACGTTCGGAGATGTTAATGTTACAGATGTGGATGCTTGTTCTCACTGTGTTGAGCAAGAGAATAGCAATAGGACTAAGAAGGGTAGGAATTCGAGGAGCAAGTTCAAAGGTGCTGCGAAGAAATGGGAGGAGAATCAACGGAGGTGGAAGTGTGAATGGGATAGGGAAAGGTTAGAGCTTGATCGGAGGTTGAAGGAGCAATTGAGTTTGAGTCGATCTGGGTCTGGTGGAACGAGTTCTATTAATCATGGGGATGTGTTGGAGGCTCTGTCTCGGGCTCTGAGGAAGACTGAGGAGTCTTATCTCGATGTTGCTGATAAGATGGTGATGGAGAATCCGGAACTTGCTTTGATGGGTTCGTGTGTTCTTGTGATGTTGATGAAGGGGGAGGATGTTTATGTGATGAATGTGGGGGATAGTCGCGCCGTGTTGGCTCAGAAGGCTGAGCCTGATTACTGGCTTGGGAAAATCAGACAGGACTTGGAGAGGATCAATGAGGAGACAATGAATGATCTTGAATCTTGGGATGTCGACACCTCCAACTTGGTTCCGAGTTTGAGTGCGATTCAGCTCACTAAGGATCATAGTACCAGTGTTGAGGAAGTAAGTTGTTTGTGTCACAGCTTGATTGCTGTTTTCATCAGGTTTGTGTCTTGTTGCATGTCTTGATTGAGAAATGTTTGGTTTCTATTTCAGGAAGTCCAGAGAATCAAAAAGGAGCATCCGGATGATCCTTGTGCTGTAGTAAATGACCGTGTAAAGGGTTCTCTCAAGGTTACTCGAGCATTTGGTGCTGGATTTCTCAAACAGGTTGGTGTCTATTGTTTACAGATATATCCAAATTTATCCATTCTACTTTACACTAGTTATATGCTTTTAACATGAATTGCAATTGGCAAGGGATTCAACAAAGTATGGGATAATTGAATGGTTTATTAAATTTGCTATAACAGGATATATACACTCTCTCGCGGGTTTCAATAAATCCAATAACTAGCCTAATCCTTGGAATATGGAAGCAGAAAAATTTGTTACTGCTAGTATTAGCTGTGATACTGAAGTAACAAGTTAGGTTAGGGTGCAAAAATTAATCACAGATTAGTTACTTCTTTCCTTTTCATTGAAATTGGACTATTGCCATATTACTTAATTATGAATCATCAAAGCATCTTCTAAGCTCTAAATGGAAACTATTTTGCAAATTCTTATTGGTGGTGGTTATTATGTTTTGCAGCCCAAGTGGAACAACGCGCTTCTGGAGATGTTTAGAATAGACTACGTAGGAAACTCTCCTTACATAAGCTGTCTACCATATCTAAAACACCACAGATTAGGTCCAAAGGACAAATTTTTAATTCTATGCTCCGATGGGCTCTATCAGTACTTGTCAAACGAGGAAGCAGTGGCTGAAGTTGAGCTTTTCATCACATTGCAACCTGAGGGAGACCCTGCTCAGCATTTGGTTGAAGAAGTCTTGTTTCGTGCTGCTAAGAAAGCTGGTACTCATAATAATACTAACAACCAACAATTGCTTTTTACAAACTAGTGTGCCTTTTTTTTTTTCTTCTTCTTCCTTTTAACTGATGTTTTTGCCTTTTCAGGTTTGGACTTTCACGAATTGCTCGAAATTCCGCAGGGGGATAGGCGCCGTTACCATGATGATGTTTCCATCATTGTTATATCTTTGGAGGGAAGGATATGGAGATCATGTGTATAAATAAGTATACTGAAAACCATATATTACAAAAAAGAGGAAGAGGATATGAGATATATAATATATATAGTGGCGAAGGGTGAGGCATCCTTTTTGCTGTTTTCCCCCTCCCTATTCACCTTTTGTAAAATAGCAACTAAGCTCTGAGTGTTTAGTTGTGCAATTAAGTGGGTGGTGAGGATTGTAAAGTTGTAAAACCTGGATTTTGTTGATTATAACTCACATAAAATTGTAATTTTTGTAATAAAAAGTCATTCCTTAAAAAAAATATTGGTCGTGCAGAAAGCACTAGTACCCTCCATCACTTTGTGCAACTCTGGTTGGCAAATGGCAGGGCTAGTCATCTGTGCATCAGCATCTTTTTTCTTCTTTTTTTTTTTTCATTAAAAATAAAAAAATGTTACATATTCCAAAGTGCCAACAACATGGCTTTAGGTTCATTTTGATGTGGATCAAGCACTATTTGCAATATCGCATTTATATTCCTTGAGGGAAAATGGTCTTTTTTCCCCATCTCTTACGTGTGTCCAATTAAACCAGATGCTTTTGTTCTCTTATTATATATGGGTGGAATTTCGTATCAAGCACGCTGTTGATCACAATCAACTTTGAATTTTAGGTTTTGACCTTATTTAATTTTTCCAGCTTTTATGGGTTAAGTCGTTGACGACACTTACAAGTAGCAATCTGGCATACGAAAGGGTTCAATGAACATAGAAGTGAAAGTAAGCTATGTCATCTAATTTAAGCATCAGTCCATTTTATGCAATTCACACCATACGTGAGTCTATTGAATAACTATCTTTGACCAGAAACTTCGTCTCACCCCTGCAATCACATAAATAAATAAATAAACAACTCAAGGGGATTGATTAAAAGTTTGAAGCTACTAATTTTTTATTAAAAATATTTATTTTTAAGAATATAAGTTATTTTCTATTTATTTTAAAAATGAATTTTGGGTTTCTTGATTAATACACTTATTAATTAAAAATGTATTAAATGTGACTTTAGGGTCAGTGCATTCTTTTAACCGGATCATAATAGAAATTAAAACCTCTCTAAGTTTGTTAACAATTTGTCATCGACACAACTATTTAATTTAGATCATTTTCAATGAATATCTCTTATTTAAGTTCTTAAATAAATCCACATGTACATATAATTCAACTTTACTCTTTTTAATTTAAGTATTTTTATAAATATTAATAATTTATTTATACTCCTTTTAATCTAAACGTCTTGTCTCCAATATCTCTCTTTCTATTTTAAATGGGTCCCAAAAAAATCTTACATTTTTACTTATCATCAATAATTTATGTATTAACTTAATTTTTTAAATTAAATTATAAATTAAGAGTTTTTTTATTTTATTTTACTAGTTTGCAAAATATTTTTTCGTGATACAAAATAATTTTTTTTTTAACTAGATCAAATTTTATTTAAAATAAATATATAAGTTTAACAAAGATTATAACAAATTTTTATAATATTTTATTATATAAATTAATGTATATTACTCGCAGTGGAAGATCTTCAACTATCGGATCTTCTGAAGAATCTGCAAGTCGTAAGCATCTGTAATCTTAGAGATGTTAATTTTTTAAAACATTATTAATTTTTCTCTCTATCTTTATTATGTAAAAAAATTTATTATGAAGAAATTAATATAGGTCGTTGTAATTTGCAAGCAAAATTGGTAATCGTTGCAATGACACGTAGCTGCTATGAAATTAATTAAAATTTGTAACTGCTAGCTACCATTTAAGTGAGAATTAAATGCACAGCAACAGGATCAAATGAATATGTGACTTTGCAAGTATCATTAAATTCCAAGTCAGATATTCATATTCACTCATACTCTCCTATTTTGATTTAAACCTACTATCTCAACCAATTCCTTCTCATATGCATTAAATGTTGTGTTTCCAAAGCATAGAAGATAGTCATGCTATTAATTCACTAAAGTCCTTTTTGCTTTTGTTTTTATCCAATAAAGTTCCATATGTGGCCAAAAAGAGAAAATATAAAGTTCCATGTCACATAGGTTGTGTGTGCCCAATTAGAGCATTGTTTTCCAGCCCAAATATTCACCCTTTAAGTACTTTGAGCTGATTTTCGAATTCATCAACCACTGGTCTACTTTTCCATCTCAATATTATAAGTCTCTTTAAGTATTTTAATTTATTTATCACTTAAAAAACCAAAAATCATTAATCATATTTTTCTTATAATATTCTCAATTATTGAAATTTTACCTAAATACCTAAATAAATTCGCAATTAAATGATAGTAATTCCTTTAACAGAGTCACACTTTTAAAAAAGTCGTTTTAATAGTAATTTATGAAATTTATATTTTTTTAAATGTACATTACAGAAATAATAAAAGTTAATATATATTTTTAGCCCCAATAAAATGAACTAGTTTCGATTTTGATCTTTATAAAAAAAAATTTGGGTACGCTGCAATTTTAGTCCCTCTATTTTTATCGGTTCACAATTTTAGTCTTTTTATTTTATAATAAAGGTATTAGTCTCCATATTTAAAAAAATACAAAATTTTGATCCTATCATCAATTTAATATTCATTAATCGTTAAACCTCGATGTGGTTCAATGATTTGTCATTATTTAAGTAACATAATATTTTATTAATAAATCTTATTTATATCTTTTTATAATTTTGTTTTATTTTCAAATGTCATATTATTGTATATTACATCACTTAGATATAAGTAAATAGTAAAATTTAATAGGTAGTTAATGTCATTAAAGTTTTATATTTTTAAAATTAAAGAGATAAAATATCTCTATTTTAAAATAAAGAGATCAAAATTATAAATTAATAAAAATAAAAAGATAAAAGGTATAATTTAACCTAATTATTTTATCCTTTTAAAATTTGAAATCACTATTTCTTTTTTTGAGTGATTTTTAATTTTGGTTCTTATGAAATTTTTATTTTTTTCTTTTATCTTTCTAAAATTTGAAATAACTATATTTATCCCCAATGATTATTTTAAGCAAGATAAACTAATTTGTGTTATTTGAGATAGTGACTTAACTTTAATTTAAATACATAAGTAATTTAGAATGTCACATAATATGAATAAAAACAATAATTTCATATTTTGAATATGAAATCTAAAAATAATTTTACTTTTAAGAATAAAAACAAAATTAACTTATTTTAGAGAAATAAAATTATATTTAATGTAAATCATTAAGATTGTTCAAGATGTAAAAATTAAGTTACATGCATTGAGAAGTTGGATTCTTCATTATTGTTGTAATATTTTTATATTAATAAAAAAATCTTATTTGAATACTATCAGTGCAAAATGTAGATTTTCTTCTGACATACGGTTTGCTGTTTTTGTGGTTTCACAAGAAATTTCTCTAGTTTGCCAATACTAGTTAATTCGACAACTTGGGGCTTATAAAGTTAAGAGGAAGGTGTCATACAATGCTGCCACTAAGGAAATCATTGTTCAATCGATTTCGACGAAATTTCCAATGGCTTGACGGAGACTCATAAAGTATACTATATTTGATTGACTGTGACTTCCACTATTCAACTGCTATGTCCAAAATACTCAACTCTCATGAAGGATGCTTCTTTGGACATAACTTTGTTTCAATCCCTTTATCATAAAGTACGGTACCGTGTTAATGGGCTTAAACTCATATCATGTTATCAAAGATGACTAAACCACGTCAACATGCAAGAGATAATGCTATGTTAAATATTCGGAAATGAAAATTTTGTTGCCTATTACATTTTATTCAGAACAGGAATGTCTATAATAAAAAAAATATCTGGTCAACAAAAAAAAGTGTAAAAAATTTTACATTGTCCACTATAGAATATATAAAACTATTTCGTGAGAGTGTAAAAGAGATATTTTTTTGGTATTGTAATTTATAAACAATAACATGGCATCGTGGTCCATGATTTCAAGTTTTTTTTTTGACATTCCTGTTTCACCCACGGGCTTATTGCCCCATGCCTACTCCTTCTGGAAGGAGGGAAAAACTCTGACTCTGGAATTAGCAATCAAAATCAAATTCAAAATTCAAATACAACCACCCTTCCCTGGTGATGACCCTCAAGATGTTGACTTATTCACATACACGTTTGCAATTTCAAATACTAGAGTAAATAATCAAAAGTTAAAGTAATTGCAACTTGACAAAGTCGTCATGTGCAAATTAAAATTCTCCATGCCAAAGTCCAAGCACTAAAGTCACTCACCCACACTTTGTTTTCATAAATCGAACGTACTGTCTAAATTTAATTTTTTTTTCCTCATATAGACTATCAATATTGCCACTGTGTCACGTCATTTGATAATTTTTATGTGTTGATTTTTTGGCTTATCAAAGGATTAGTTGTAATTTGTGACCTCAGCTTGATTTACTTATCTCAACCCAAACCAAAACCACTTTCTCTTCTCAATTTTTCTTTCTGTTCCGTCCCAAATGGAATAAGTCTAGAGATGTCCATAGCGTTGAATAAAATTAACAGCAGCAAGATGAGCACACCCTTGTTCCATGAATTCAAAAAGCAAGCTTCTTTCTTCCTCAAGGAGAAAATCAAGACTGCCAGATTGGCTCTAACAGATGTCACCCCTGCAGAACTGTAAGATGAGATTTTGATTGTTGTTTTGATCACCCTTCAATTTGTTTCATAACCAAAACCAGCCCTAGAGTTTCTAATATTTACATTTTTTGCCCTGTGTGTGGATGTGTTTTACTATTTGCAGGATGACAGAAGAGGCAACTAGTGGAAATCCATGGGCCCCAGATTCCAGAACCCTCAGATCAATTTCAAGGGCTGCTTTTGAGCTAGATGATTATTGGAGGATTGTGGAGATTCTGCATAAAAGGTGTTTCCAGGTCCCTTTTGTTTACCTCAGCATGTTTCCCACTTTTGTGTTAAACTGTTAGAAAATGTTAAGGAGGGCATTGGTTAAGGAATCAAAAGTAAAAAATTATCATTGAAAACTTTATTGTAGTTTTCAATAAAAAAACTTTTTACATGTTGATTCTTTAACCACGGCACTGGTTAGCAGGACCCAAACTGTTAATCAACCAATCGTGGATCAACCAATCATGGATGAATGACTTGTACAATTCTAAAACAGGTTTCTTAAATTTGAAAAGAAGAATTGGAGGGTCTCCTACAATTCCCTGATTGTGCTTGAGCACCTGTTGACTCATGGACCAGAGAGTGTTGCTGAGGAATTCAAGAGTGACAAAGATGTTATTAGTCAGATGATAGGTTTTCAGTATATTGATGACACTGGGTATGTTCTTATTTTTGCAACTCTTGCCTAAAAATCCATGCTTATTAATTTTCTTCCTCTTGATCAATGAGTGTATTTGAGTGCTTGCAGGTTTAATTGGGGCCTAACTGTCAGAAAGAAATCTGAGAGGATAATGAAACTGCTGGAAGAAGGAACTCTTCTCAAGGAAGAGAGAAAAAGTGCTAGAAGGTTATCTAGAGGGATTGAGGGTTTTGGAAGTTTCTCTCATCGGTCAACTCCGGCACAAGCCATTCTACCACTACGTGAGAAATCATTGCCAACCACACTTAGGAGATATGACTCGGACTTAAGCAACCATGAAGATCAAGAAAACCAGTCCTTTTGTTCAAACAATGGTGAGGACAAAGTAGCTGTCAAATCTCCTAGCATTGAAGGTGGGACTTTCAAGTCCTTGGGTAGTGTGGAAAGCAAGGGATACCAGGATGATCTTGGCACCAATCAAATGCATCAGAAATCTGAAACAAGTTCTAAAGAAAACATGGAACCTAGCAAGGAGGAGTTCCATCTGTGGAACTTGAAAGGGGAGTCCAAACCACTTTTGGATTGTGGTGAAGAGGATTCCAAGTTTGTCAGAACAGAAGATGATCACCCCTTTAATTCAACAGAATTCATGCCACTGCCTCTCTGCTTTCTGCTAGAGACGGAATACTACAAGGGTGTTGAAATAATTTGAAGATTTAAATATGAAGCCAACAAGTTGTTTGCTAATATTGCATTTTTCATTCGTGTATATGGGTGACCCTTATGTTTCCGTTAGAAATTCCCCTCAATATCACACGGTTAGTTACTGAACAAAGAAGAGAGATTTTGGTTTGTATTTCTCTATATTTAATCTAGAAGAGATTTAACCTTCCCTAGCCACTTTAACGGCAATCACATAACCTGTTTGTGCATAGACAATCATTGATTGATATGGGAAATGGGTATCTTATATTTTATTTGCTAAAGCCTAAAGGTTTGTTTAAATTCTAGACAATAGATTAAAGCAATTTCCTAAGATTTTACATTTTTACTATTTCATCAAATCATGTGATACAAAATTCAAAGTCTGTACTACAAAATTCAAAAGGTATTTGAATCCATCTTCGCATAAATTCTATTAGCTCTACGGTTGCAATTCTAGATGTACAATAGGCCAATCCCAACTTATCAGACTGATTCAGCAATGCACAAACAATTGAAACCAACTAACCCTGTACCATTAAACCCTTAACGATCATTGATTTGAGCTAGAAAGCAATAATGAAAAGCAATACAATTATGCAAAATTAGATATGTAGATATTTACAACATTGAAAAATGAATTAATGAAACTTCAGGATTTGCAAAGCCAGCCTTGGATAGCAAGTCGAAGTGCATGATTGTGAGTGAGATGCAGGTGACTCAATTTTAAATTAGTCATAGGAGATGTTTCGTGCCCATTTTCCAGCCATTCATTTATGGCCTTCCCTTCATAAGTAAATCCATCTGCTGCAACTTGAGGATCATGCATTATTTCCTGAAGAATGAACCAACAAAATAAACATGAGCCAGATAAATACAATAACTGAAGATTTTGTAAAAACAAAATTGGCTTCTCTTCAGGTTGACATAATGATTAAAGTTCAGTTATTCGCACTGGTTACTTCATCAGCTATATCATGTATTTATTTCAAAGTCATTACATTAATATTACTACTAAACCTAGTTGTATAAATAACAATAAAAAGGAACAGTTACCTGAAAGATTGGACACAAGAAAAAAGATGGCACAGGTCTCTCTTCTGAAACATGCAACTGCTCCAATTCTCTCACTAGAGAAGGTGTTAACTCTGGTCTATCTCTACTATTCAGTTGGCAGCATTGCAATCCCAGTTCAACCAATCGTGTTGCCACAGTGGAATGCCACTCTCCAGCTGAAGAATCCAAAATTGAGGACAATTTTCCACTTGAAACTGCTCTGCGTACTTCACCAGCTAATCCAAATGGAGTCCTACCAGTGAGGAGTTGCAATATGATGATTCCAAAAGAGTATATGTCAGATTTAGGTGTTAGTACACCAGTTCTGTGAAACTCGGGATCTGTATATGAAAAAGAACCCTTTGGCTCAGTGCTGAAGCAGAAACTAGGAAGGTAAAGTGACTCCTCTTTCACCAGCCTGCTGA